TTTTGTGTTTTTAGACATAAAAGAAAAACAGATTTGTCAAGGAAAAAATGTCTGATTCTGATAAGATAATGGAACCTTTGGAATCAGCTGAACCAAATGAGTCTTATAGTGAGGCTCAGGAGGAAAATGCTGAGGAGGCTGACCTCCCAATTTTGGTTGAGGACTCAGATGAGGAAGGGGAGCCCATGGGTAAGTTTTTGCAAGCCAACTGGAAGGGAAAAGGAAAAGTAAAGAATGGATTATGCTTGTTTTTGAATTTCCAGAAATGGAGGATGCAAAGGGAGATTTGAAGTCTGCGCCAACTGAAAAGTCAGCCCTTTCTGATAGTCCACCTTCAGTGATTTTGCCAAAATCGGCAGCGGACCTTGCCAAGAAGCTGGCTTCTTTATCAGAGGATTGTCTTCAGAGGATGGTGGACTTTGTCCCCTTCCTTGAGAGTAAAAAGCATGCCCAGATAGGGCATGATGGTTTAAAGGCCAAATTGGATAGGCTCCAGGAGGAGTCTCAAAGATATGCTGAGAACATCTCTTCCCAGAAGCGCATTCTTCAAAAATTTGCATTGGAGGAAAAGGAAATGGCAGACAAGTGCAAGGGTCTGGAAGAATGCCGTGAGGTCATAGTTGACCTGCATGACAAGGAGGAGAACTTAGTGCTCCAAGTGGAGTCTTCAATGAGAAGGCAAATGGAGAGGCATGCAGGTGTCTTTCAATGTGCCTTAAGTGGGATCTCTCAAGTTTTTCTTGCTGAGGGGATTGGTTTCACCTCAAGCGTTTTAAGTAAGGCTAGAAAAGAAGGGCATGTTAAGAGTTTATTATATGATTTCTCTTTTTTTTTCTTTTGTTCTTTAAGGACTTCCAGCTGGGGATTACCTGCATGACAAGGAGGAGAACTTGGTGCTCCAAGTGGAGTCTTCAATGAGAAGGCAAATGGAGAGGCATGCAGGTGTCTTCCAAGGTGCCTTAAGTGGGATCTCTCAAGTTTTTCTTGCTGAGGGGATTGGTTTCACCTCAAGCGTTTTAAGTAAGACTAGAAAAGAAGGGCATGTTAAGAGTTTATTATATGATTTCTCTTTTCTTCTTTTGTTCTTTAAGGACTTCCAGCTGGGGATCTCCAGATTTGGAGTACTGGGGATACAAAAATCTTCCTTGGGAGTGTGGAGGTGATTCAAGAATATTGGATGGAGGAGGCCAAGTTTGCCACAACACAGCGGCGCAATAAACAAGCTATTGTGGACCTGCTCAAGCAGCTGAAAACCCCAGAGAATTTGGCAGCTGGGGGGAGCAAACGTCAGAGGGATTCTGAAGGGGGTTCTACATCTGAAGGATCTTTGGTTCCAGGCAGCTTAATCAAAAAAGTGAAAACAAGAATGACATTACCAGTTCAGGTTTCCCCAGCTAAGGTTAAGGGAGCCCTCAAGAAGGGGCCTTTTGGAGAGGAGTTGGAGGAGGAGATTTCTGAACTGATGAATCCTTGTAAGTGTTTTAACAGAAGCCCCAGATCTGGGATAAAAAGTATTCCTTTTGGATATTAATGACTCTTTATTTTATTCAGGGAATGATCTTCATCCCTTCAGAAGCAGTCTATTTCAACCAGAGGATCCTATCTATTGTGGACCTGCTCAAGCAGTTGAAAACCCCAGAGAATTTGGCAGCTGGGGGGAGCAAACGTCAAAGGGATTCTGAAGGGGGTTCTACATCTGAAGGATCTTTGGTTCCAGGCAGCTTAATCAAAAAAGTGAAGACAAGAATGACCTTACCAGTTCAGGTTTCCTCAGCTAAGGTTAAGGGAGCCCTCAAGAAGGGGCTTTTTGGAGAGGAGTTGGAGGAGGAGATTTCTGAACTGATGAATCCTTGTGAGTTTTTTAACAGAAGCCCCAGATCTGGGATTAAAAGTATTCCTTTTGGATATTAATGATTCTTTATTTTATTCAGGGAATGATCTTCATCCCTTCAGAAGCAGTCTATTTCAACCAGAGGATCCTATCTCCTATAAGAAGAATGTTTTCAAGCGCTTTGGGCTCAAAGTTGACAGACTGGACAGGGACTCAAAGTACTTTTTACCAGTTCCTGGTTGCGTGGCCTAAGCAGTCTATTTCAACCAGAGGATCCTATCTCCTATAAGAAGAATGTTTTCAAGCGCTTTGGGCTCAGGGTTGACAGACTGGACAGGGACTCAAAGTACTTTTTGCCAGTTCCTGGTTGTGTGGCTCAGGATTACACCTATGGGTCTCCGCAAAATCGTTTCAATCAAGGGGCCAAGATTAAAAACTCTGGGAAGGGTCCCTGTGTTTTGCTGTTGGGGACTTCACTTACTGTGCCATGGCGTTTGGCAGGAGGGCGCCAGACTTTTTGTGACAATGTCAGGCCTGAAAAGGCAACAACTCGTGGAGTTTTTGATTTTGAGCATTTATTGGCTGGTCGAGAAATTGACATGTTCCAGGTAGAAAAATAAAAAGAGCAATTTGTTTGAGGATCAGAAGCTTCTTTAAATTGGTTTTTTCTTCTCTTTTCAGTATTCACTCAGTGGCTGGGCTGCTCTAATTGGATCGGATGAGCAAGTGGTGTCCCCAGAGGAGATGAGGAACAGGGTGTACTATGATCTGCATCTGGACTCTTCCTTCAGGTTCACACACGTCTTTGTGCGTGTGGGGACAAATGATCTTAAAAATTTAACAGAGCCTGATGTTGTCAGGCAGTATCCCAACTTTGGGCATTTTTTGCAAGCCCTTTATGGGTATTTTGATGA